CCCCTCCCCCAAATTTGGCAGATAAGAAATGGAAGTCGGGAGAGGGGAAGGGGCTTGCCCAGGGTCACAGAGTGGGCATATGGCCTAGTTGGCAGACTGTGATCCATAAATGATCCTGCCCCTCTGCTCACCCCGCCCAGTCACATCTGAGGTTGGTCCTACCTTCAGAAAGGTTTGGGAAGTCCGGGAGGGCTGTTTTGAATCCTCACAATCTCACAACTGCCTGTAGGCCTTGCCAGAGCAGGGAACAGCCTCCCTGAGCCTTGCATGGGTCACAGCCCCCTCCCTGAGAGCCCCTGCAGAGTTGGGCAAGGCTGGGCTGGAAGCCTTCCATCACCTTTGCCCAGCTTTCCTCTCCTCTGGGCCTCCCCTCGGCCTGGCAGCCGGCACTGGCAGCACCAAGGGAGGGCCCAGCTGGGCCAAGACCATGTGTCCTGGAGGGAATCATTCTCATCTATCTCCCTCCCTCCCTACGCCTTCTTGGATCTGCCCTTTTCTCTCCATTCCCTCCCTCCTCCCCCCCACCCCACCTTCTTGCCCCTCAGTAAACCTCCCCCCCTCCACTTTCATTCTTTGTACTTCAGGGAAAAGGCCAAGTTTCAAGCTGCAGAAGCTGGGGTGTCTGGGTCTCACACACACGTTTCCATGTGTGGCTGCAGCCTCTTAGTCTCATGGAGGAGGAAGCACATGGCCTCTGCCTGCCTCTTGCCTCCCTCCGGACCGATTCATTTGGCAGAGGAGGGCCAGACACACAGAGCTAGGAGACCACCTGGAATGAGAGTCAAGTGTCAGAGCTGGGAAGACCTGTAAAGATGATTTTACAAATGGGGAAACAGAGGCTGGAGAGAGGAAGAGACTTGGTCAGTGTCACACAACCTGTTAGCGGCAGATCCAAACCTACTGCTACACGGAGGGTGGGCCCACCTTGGCCTCTGTGCCCTCCAGCCTCTGGCTTCCAGAAGATGGGTAAGCCAGTCGTTGGGAGGAGATTCCTTGGGTTCCAAGTCCTCTGAGCCACATCTGGAGGACAGAGGACCACCCTTGCCATGCACCCACTTCTAGGCATCTGGAGAAGGTGCTATTGGGGTGCCAAATCCAGAGTGGGAGCTCTGCCTGCCCACTTCCAGGCAGCTGCCTGTCCAGCCAGCTCCCCAGGGCCTGCAGGGGCCTGCTGCTCCAGCTGGCAGCTGCCCCCACCAAACATCTGGCTAGATTGGGCTGGGCTGGACTGGAAGGAGGGTGGTCCTGGGTCCTAAAAAACCAGGACTGAGGTGCCAGTGAGCAAAACTGGAAGGGTTGGCCTAAGTGGAGATGCCCTAGCACCTTCTGTGAGCTCACATGCTGTGCCCCCACCTTGTGTCCAGTGGCTGCAGCTGTCCCCCCTCTCCCCCCTCCCCACCCCACTGACTCTGACTCTCTCCCCACTTGGCCTCTGCCTTTGAGGCCCTGAATCCCAATGTCCTTCACTGCATGTTGCCTCCTCTTGCTTTTTGATTCTCCTCCTTTTGATTCTTTCTCTCTAGGTGTCTGTTCTGTCTCTGGTTCTTTGATTCTGTCTGGGTTTCTCTCCATTTCCTTGTGCCTCTGTCCTCCCTTTGCAACGCAGTAGGGGAGGAGGAGGAGCTTTGGAGCTTTCCCAGGATGGGCAAAGGCCACCCAAGGGAGTGAAGGAGGGAAGGGTGTCAAAGTTGGGTTGGGGGGCAGAGGTGATTGTGGTCGTGGCTCCGGATAACACAACTACCCGGAAATGTCAAATTTGGGGTTTCTTTTTGCTTTCAATCCTCTGCTTTGGTCTCTGCTATTTCCCACCACAAAGCACCCTAGTGGTTTTAGGGGCCCAGACTATAGAGGAGAAAACTGAGGCCTCCGGGATGGGGTTCAGGAAGATCAGAAACTTTCTAAGGTCTGGACTGAGTTGGGATCCCAGGCCTCTGCTAATTGCCTCTCATTCCCAATTCCAAGACATAGCATTACATGGGCAGTGAGGAAGGATTTTTAAAAATCACACGGAATACATTCCCTAAAGGAAGACTGACCATAAAATATTATTAGGAATGATGATAATCCCTAGCCTCGTTTGTAGTTTGCACACCACGCATACAGCCTGAACTGAATCGTGGCACGTTGACGTGCAAACATCGTTGTACTGATCTTTGCAACAACCTCAAAGGGAGGCAGAGTCACATTCATCCCCTTGGATTAGTCCAGAAAGGAGACCTGTCCACAGCTGTCTGGCCAGTAAGTGTACAGCTGACACCGGGACCCAAGTGGACGGCCCCACGGAGAGGTCTCAGGATAGCCTTCCTCAACTGCCGGCAACCCCAGCACACGCCACAGAGGGAGGACGTCTCCTTTGGCTGGGCTAGCCCATCACGGTTCTGTGGCACGGAGTGAGGCACACCGTCTCCATGCCAGTCCATTCCCCTGCTCTGTTGACCTGTGCGTTATATGAAGATGGGTTTAAGTTTATGGAGGAAGGGAAGAGTCATCCCGAGTCCCGTTTCTAGCCTGCCTTTGGAAACAAGGTTAGCCCAGAAGGCTGAGCTCATGCCCCCTTCCCTGGGGAGAACAGATCAAGGTCACCTTGACCTAACTGGCCCTGGGGGTGGAGGGAGGCAGTACAGAGATGTCTTTGTTTCCTCTGCTCCAAGTCCCTTCTTCAAGGAGAGTTCCCATCTTGTGGGAGCCAGAGGGGAGGCAGGGTGGGGGTGAAGAGCCTTCCCAAGAAAGCTGGAGGCATTCCAGGAAGTATCTCTGTGCCGGCAGAAGGAGAGCTGAAGCCTTGGGCTTAAACCTCCGGCTTCTCCCACCGCCCCCACCCCCACCCCCACCTTGCCTCTGCTGGGATTGTCTGCTTTCTCTCCAGCCCCGCCCCCAAAGCTCCTGGAAAGGGGGGAGGGCACAGGCCCACACTCAGCATATACAGCACCCCTAAGACCACTGTCCCTGCCTCTCCCGTCTCCATATCCCGGTACCTCCCTGTAGAAATGCTGTCCCCAGCTGTTCCCATTCTCACCCCTGGAGACACAGCAGGACCGAGGGTAAGTAATTCTGTGTGAATCTGGGGGAGAGGAAGGAGTTGCTGGGTCCTGGGTGAAGCCTGTCTGCCCTTCCTGCCTCTGTCCCTTGTCCTCTACCCCTCTTCAGGGAAGTCAGTTTACAGTGAAGTTACCAGAGAACACAAGGCCATCCTGCCTGAGGCACAGCGACTCTGCTCTGTTTCTGAGAATAGGGGCGGGAGGGGTTCAGGACTCACTGGGTGGGTGGGAGGGAGAGCCTGTCCAGCTGCCGGGGCCACCTGCCCAGGGAGAGCCACCTGTGGGACAAGGAGAAGAGGGGGTGCGACGTCTGTGCTTAGCACACATTTCCTCCCCAGTCGGGAGAACAGGATGGAGCCCAGCCTTTGCTGTTCCTTCTCACTACACAGAAGGGTCCTGGAGCCCTGGAGCCTGGGGGGTGGAGAGAGGAGAGGCGGGCACAGAGCTGGGTCCCCTAGCAGGGCTGCCAGCTGTCTTGAGCAGAGCCCTGGCTGGAATCTGGCTCCCATCCTGTTCCATGAAGACCACCAGGTCTCTCTTCTCACTCACCTCATTTCTCCTCCTTCCGGGCCAACAAGAAATCTCCTGTGCCTTAGCCAGCCCAGTAGCCGACCTCAAGCCCTCGGAGGGACGTTCGGGAGAGGACTCCTTCCCTGCTACCCCCACCACTTGGCCACTTTCCTTAGTTATGACTAGAGGGGCTTCCTTTCTCCCTGTCCCTGGTTCTCATTGTTCCCTGGTGTATTATGTCACAAACCCACCCACATCTTCACTGCCGACTCCCCTGCTCCCAGCCTCCAAAACTGGCTCCCAAATGATGTCCAGGCCAATGCTCCATCCCTGCCTCGCTGGCTACTGGCCTGCTCTTCTTTTGGTGCTGAAATCCACCCTACGCATGGGCCTTCCCTTTACTCCTGCTCCAGTCATGCAGTCCCCTAGTGCACTGGCCTCTCTCACTCCAAGCTATGCCCCCCCCCGCCCCCGCCATTCCACCTACCTGGAATGCCATCCTCCCTTGGCCATCTGGTAACATCCTCCCCCCTTTTCATGGGGTCAGTGTGGTGTAGAGAAAAATGCAAAGGCTTTGGACCTGGTACAAAGCCTGCTCTGCCGTGTGACTTCGGGCAGGTTAGTCCGCCTCTCCGGGCCGAGGCACCTCCTTTGTAAAAGAGGAACAGCAAGACCCATCTCGTAGGATTGCTGTGAAGGATTGTCAGTCACAGCGATGAGCCCCTAAGAGGTGTTCAGGGACCCTGGCCAGTGGAGGTAATAGGCATTTTCTCCTCTGCTGTCCTGCAGCTCTCAATCCTGTACCTCAGGCCGCTTCTTGTGGCTCTTAACTAGTTGCTGAAAGGGCTGTGTTCCACTGCTTGGTTCCTAGTAGAGGCTTCACAGATATTTGTTGGCTTAGTGAAGTTCCCTCGAACAGGACAGGGCTTCTCCACGCTCCGACACCTCCGGGGTTCCCTTACACTAGTACAGACCCCTGTTTCCCTTTCACACATCCTGACCCACAGCACCCAGAAGGCTCTCTCCTCTCTCATCCTGGCCTCTGCCAGCTCTAGTCCCACTTGACCTGCTTTCCTGCCCATGGCAGCAGCAGCCGCCGCCTTATCCTTGTCTGGTGCTGGGCTGACTTTTGAGTTCTTTTCTTTTCTTTCTTTTTTTTTTTTTTTTAAGTTTATTTATTTTTGAGAGAGAGAGAGAGGCAGAAGATGAGCAGGGAGGGGCAGAGAGACACAGAATCCGAAGAAAGCCCCGGGCTCCGAGCTGTCAGCACAGAGCCCGATGTGGGGCTCAAACCCACGAACCATGAGATCCTGACCTGAGCCGAAGTCGGCCGCCTAACCGACTGAGCCACCCAGGCGCCCCTTGAGTTCTTAATCCTACCCAGCGAGCCAGCAAGATATTGCCTGGGGTGACACTCTCTTCTCTCCTCTGTGTCAGCCCTGCCATCTCCGGATAATGCAGCATTGCCCTGGAGCTCTGGGTGGAGAGGGAAGGCTGACCCTGTCCCAGAAGCCAGGTGGGAGCCCCTTCGGCTTTCCAGAGAGCCAGCTACCCCTTTAGTTCTGGCTGGAAGGGAGCCCAGGTAAGTGAGGTGCACAAGGGCAAGACAGAGAGTAAGTGAGAATCCCCAGGCGAGTCTAAGCACCTGCGCCTCCATTGCTCACATCCCATCTCCCCACCCTCACCTCACCCCCGTCCCAGGCCCTCCTGGCCCAGCAAGCTGGCTGGGGTTGGGCTGAAGGAAGGAAAGAGAAACACACATTTATCAAATGCCTTTTCTGCAAGCCAGCCATGACGCTTAGTTACTTTCACAAACATTGCCTCTCCACTTTCTTCACTAAAAGAAAGTTCATTTTCCTAATGTTTTAGTTATTTCTTTAAGTTTTATTCATTTAGGTAATCTCTACACCCAATATGGGGCTTGAACTCATGACCCCGAGATCAAGAGTTGCATGCTTTTCCAACTGAGCCAGCCAGGGGCCCCTTCCTAATATTTTAATAGGTAGTATAGCGCATGATATAAAACTCAGACGATTCAAAATGGTGAAGAATTAGTCTTTCTCCTTTCCTGTCCCCTAGATCCCCTCTGCAGGAACAACCACTATTACTCCAGTCTTGTGTGCATCCCAGAAAGATTCTATGCATTGGCAAATGTCTATTATACTTTACTTCCCATGACTCACACAGGAGGGAGAATGAGGCCCTCAGAGAAGTGAAGTACTTTGGCTAAGGTCACACAGCTGGTAAGTTGGCAGAGCTGGGATCTGGAAGCAGATCTAACTGAAAAACTCAGCTCCTTTCACCGCCCACGCTCTGGCAGAGGTAAGCCCTGGCATTGACAAAGCCTCTCCCGAACCACTGGCTGTGACAAATCTCCATTCTAAGGCCCTGGAGATCTGCCTTCCTGTCCGTTGAATGTCCAATGCCTGTATTGACTTAATAAGGAGGAGTCATGCCCCTATGAAAGCAAAGTTCCCACAAGGGTCCTTCCTTCTGTGTGGCTGGTGGTTCCCCAGGGACAGCCTGATTCCCAGGGTTCAGAGCATTCTGGAGAAGGAAACCACACGAGCATGGGTCTCTAACTAGAGGGGGTTGTGGCTGTGGTTTCAATGATGTTTCCAGAAAATGGCCTACGTTCTCCCTGGGGGCAGGCTGGGCTGAGGGAGGTGTGAAGTAGGGAGCTGTTTTCTGTGGTAGCCACATGCTTGTCCTCCAGAGCAAGGGAAGGAGGCTGAAGTCAGTCCCCGGTTGAGAGTAGGCTGGACATATGGACAAGGGCTACCCACCAGACTTCCAGGCTCTCCCCAAGCGTCGTTCTCTCCCCGGTCAGGACAGGGTTGGCTAAGAGATGACCAACTCTCTCTCCAGTGGATGTCACTACATCTCTGGGTATGTCTCTGAGAACTTTCTATATGGGCTCTCTGTAGGGCTTTCTGGATCCTAGCTTCCTGTTCAGTTTCTTTCTTTCTAGGACTCCTTCTGTGTTACGTCTCAGTCTGGTGTCTCCTCCACGTAGGGGACTATGTCCCTGAGGCCCAAGAGAAGAAGCTCTCACCTCATCCGGATTGGCAAGTAGGGAGAGGTAGGTGTTAGACCTTCCTTCCTCTCAGGTTGACAATGTTCTTGTTTTGCTGAGGTAGTCACTCAGAACGTTCTGTCCTTCGTGTCTGTGCACACAGCCAGCCAGATCTAGCTTTGTGCATAGTGGTCAGTCAGAGATGGGTTATGAGACGAAGGAATAAAGAGGTGTACCTGCCCCACCCTCCAGGGCACCCTGCGGCTATCTGTCAAGGCAGCTGGATCCAGTCCTAGACCTGACCAGTCCTAGGAAGAGAGGTGTAAATTTTAGCCTTTACTGAAAATGGTAATAGTAGTTAACAGCTGTATAGTGCTTTAAGGCATTTGAAGCCCTATACACATATTACCTCACTTAATTCCTACAACAATGCTACAAGGTAAGTCCTATTACTATTACCACATTACAATGAGGAAATTGAGGCCAAAAACTTGCTTAAGATCACACAGCTCGAGGAGTTGACAGCAAGTCTGCTTTTAGATTCTTTGCTCTTAATTACTACACAGTCCTCCTGGTTTCCATTTCTATTCCTAGAGTGGAGAGTTTGTTCTTCAAATGTTTATTGGGTGTCTGCTCTGCGCTGGGCAGGGGGTGGATTTAAAGGTACATGGGATATTGTGTGCTGGCAGGGGTAGAGAGACATATAAACAAGAGATTGTCCTTCAACACTAGACGTGCCATAATAGGGGCATGAACATCAGGGAAACAGGGGGAGAGAGGTTCTCACTGCCTGGACCAACTGTCACCGAAGGCAGGAGGTACATTCCAGGCAGAGGAACAGCACGCGTGCAGGTGCAAAAACTTTCGAGAGAAATGCAGTGTGCTCAAGTGTTGAAACATCTTGCACAGTGACTGCCAGAGAGGTGCCAGAATGCTCAGTGCTGGTGCTTCCATCCAGCTTCCTGCTCCAGCCTGTCCTCCTGCTCCAGCCTCCAAATGCCCTGCACCAACTCTGGGCAAAGCACTGTGCCAGGTGTTGGCCCAGAGTGTGGGATAGAAGCAGTTGCCTGGGTGGGGGAGAAGGACTTTGTGATCAGCTACAGACACAAAGATCTTTGTGGCTGGTGTTATTCTGGAGGGGAAGGGAAGGCTGCTGGGAAGAGCTGCCAAAGGAGGATTATGGGAGAACTTGGGGCCTTGCAGATCTTGGTCATCTCTGGACATGAAGATTTGCAGACTGTAGGCAAGGGAAGCTCCGGGTGTATGTATGGAGTCCTTCTCCTTCTGCCCCTGCAGCTAGGTTTCTGGAGATCTGACATGCCTTGCTTTGGTGCTGGCCCTTGGCGGGTTGCCAGGGAAACGGTTGGCCAGCTCCAGAGATGTAGCCAGAGGAGAGTGGGTGACTCAGGCTGCCTTCTCAGATACCACACCCCCTCCCCATTACATGGAAAAGGCTCTCAGAGACCCCTTTCCCTGGATCTTAGAAAGGTGATGGTGCTTATTCTTCCTTCTCTTGATAACGCAGCCAGTCCCTCCCCGAAGCTCTAACTGGCGGGAGCGAGCAAAAGTCCCCAGGGAAGGAGATGGTGTCAGACGCCCCTTCCCCCCGCCGCCCCCCCCC